GCGACAGGGGTTCTAGTTAACAGTGCATTCAACGGTGACAAGAAGCTCTGTGGCGGGACCCACACTGGGATGCAGCTGGCAAAGCCCACACTGGCAACACCAGCTTCCCATTCCGCAGTAGCGGCTCAGTTCCCTACTAGCTCCACTTCTGATTCAGCTCACTGCTGCTGCACCTGCGCAAGCAGTGGGATCTGGCCATAGACACGGGCCCTTGCTAACCTCATGGCAAACCCTGGTGGCGTTCCAGGCCCCAGGCTCTGGCCTGGCTCAGCCCCAGCCGTTGGGGGCTTTTAGGGAACAAACCAGCAGCTGGATGACCTTTCCCTCTCTCAGTAGACCTTTTAAAAAAAGAGATCGGGCCCAGTGGCGTGGCCTAGTGGCTAAAGTTCTCGCTTTGAACGTGCCAGGATCCCATATGGGCGCCGGTTCTAATCCCAGCAGCTCCACTTCCCATCCAGCTCCCTGTTTGTGGCCTGGGAAAGCAGTCGAGGACACCCCAAAGCTTAGGGACCCTGCACCCGTGTGGGAGACCTAGAAGAAGTTCCAGGCTCCTGGCTTCAGATCGGCATAGCATCGGCCGTTGCACTCACTTCGGGAGTGAATCATTGGACGGAGGATCTTCCTCTCTGTCTCTCCTCCTCTCTGTATATCTGACTTTGTAATGAAAATAAAATAAATCTTAAAAAAAAGAGAGATCTGCTTATTATATTCATATTCAAAAGAATAAACAAATCTTTTTTAAAAGGGCTGCTGCCAGCTATCCCTAGCTGTTCAAGGGACATGCCAGCCTGGGAAAGAAAAAAAATAGAATGTTAAAAGAATCTCAGACTTGGGCTGTCAATGCGATGGCAAGTGCAACTGCTTAGATGTGGGTTGAGAGGGCCTGTTGGTCAGTGTGCTGGAGGCCTCCTGCCAGGGTGACAGGGTGGTTACAAGGATTCCCACTGGGAAGTGGGGAGGTTGTGGGGAGACCACCCCCATGGAGGGCTTTACTGCTGTCCCTCAGAGTGAGTCAGTCCTGACCAGCACACTGCGAAGTACAATATAAGGCAACCGGGGCCCGGCGCAATGGCGCAGTGGTTAAGGTCCTCGCCTTGCACACCCGGAATCCCATATGGGCGCCGGTTCTAATCCTGGCAGCTTCACTTCCCATCCACCTCCCTGTTTGTGGCCTGGGAAAGCAGTCGAGGACGGCCCAAGGCCATGGGACCCTGCACCCATGTGGGAGACCCGGAAGAGGCTCCTGGCTTTGGATCGGCATAGCATCAGCCATTGCGCTCACTTGGGGAGTGAATCATTGGACGGAAGATCTTCCTCTCCTCTCTGTCTCTCCTCTCTGTATATCCACCTTTCCAATAAAAAAAAATAATAAGGCAACCGTGCACGTGAGTCCTCCTTTAAAATACATATATAATAAATTTAATATAAATATAACTAAATATTAATAAATTCATATATAAGAATTTATGTGTTTATTATATGTTCATTATTAATAGATTTAATAAACATATATTTTTTAATTGGAAAGGCAGGTTTACAGAGAGGAGACAGAGAGGAAGATCTTGCATCTGCTGGATCACTCCCCTGGCAGCCACAATGATCACACTGAGCTGATCCAAAGGCGGAAGCGAGGAGTGTGTTCTCCGTCTCCCACGCAGGTGCCAGGTCCCAGGGCTTTGGACCGTCCTCTCCTGCTTTCCCAGGCCACAAGCAGGGAGCTGGATGGGAAACAGAGCAGCACCCATATGGGATCCCAGCACTTGGAGGTAGAGGATTAGTCAACTGAGCCATCACAGCAGGCCCACTCGGCCCCTTCTGCATCGGTTCTCTTTCCATTCCCCGCCCCTGTATGACTCAGCCAAGTGACTGGCACCTCTCATGCTGTGTGCACCCTCCAGACGCCAGAGTCATGAGCCAACCAAAACCACCTTCCTTAAGCAAGCTTTCAACACCGGCTGTTACATTACAGCAACAGAAAACGGACTAAGAGGGGTTTCTACCGCCCTAGGTGTTAGTCCTGTCCATGACAGCTGAGTCAACTTAGGATAGCTTCCTGGATGCTCTGCACGATGGAGGAGCTCACTCTTGCCCAAAGCAGCGGTCTCGGGTCCCAGTGGCCTCAGGGTCTCACAGACGGCCTCAGGGTCTCACAGACCCCGGAGGCAAAGGCCCTGAACAGATGTGCAGTCCCTGTTGCCCATTTGTCTCCTCGAAGGACCCCCACATGGATTCCAGGCAAGGCCAAGTGCAAAGGGTCAACCAGTTCCTCATCAGGAGCAGGGACGCCCGCAGCTGCCTTTAAACACACACTCGGCTGCTGGAGAAGCGGCAGAAACTTCTAAATTGTTGTTGTTAAGACAACCAAGTGTAAATATCAATCTCTCCAGGGTTCCATCCGGAAGCAGGTTTTAAGTGTGTACAAACACACACACACACACACACACACACACACACACACGGGAAATAATCCAATAGAGACTCTCTGTGCCTCCTCCTGCTTTCTGCCACATGGTGATGCCTCCCACTGGGAAGCATTCCACCTTTGGGGTTGAAACAGCTGCTGCCCCACAGCATTGTTTGGCTAAGGTTTTGTTGTTGTTGTTGTTTTTCGCATACTTTGCTCTTTTCAAGCATGTTATTTTTAAGCAACATGTTTCATAACACCACGTTAGATCCCAAAGCAAGATGACTGGCACTTAACCACCCAAGCATGAGGCCCGTAGGGTGCTGGGTGTGTAAGGACACCTATGCAGTGTGCTTCAGCTGTCCCCCACACCCGGCTTCCGCAGAGGGACCCAGGAGAGGGCATTTTCCAGGGCTCCGTCAGCCTGTCTCTCCGCGTGCAGAGTAAGCCTGAGAAAGCCCACCCTTGCAAACAGCGTGTGAGCCAAGAATTTCTAACAGGTAGTCTAGAGAAACTCGATGCCCTTGACCCTTGGTTTGTGGAGAGCACAGAGCATTCCGAGAATGTTCCACAGGCCATGGTCAGTCCCACCTGCCGGGGAAAGGAGATCAGACACACCCAGCATGTGGTGCCAGGGCCTTCTACCTCCCAGAAGGAGCAGGAAGGTGTGATCAGAGTCACCAGCGGGGAACCTGGCTGCAGCTGGCACTGCCCACATCTCCAACAGCCACAGTCCCTCCAACAGGAGACGTGTCCCCCCAACAGGAGACGTGTCCCCAAGGCCATCACTGGACAAACGGTCAGGCACCGGAAGTCAACCCACAGGCTCTCCACTGAGGGACTCAGGGTAAGGCCCACACTTCTCTCACCCTCTAGGCTAGTGAGGCTGTGGCTGCCGGAGGGAGGGAGACTGGAAAGAGGTATGGCATGGCTAAGAGAACAAGCAGCTCGGTGCCAGCTGCACGCACAGCTTCACCCACAAGACAGGAAGGGCGCAGGGCCTGGGCTGTCTGTTACAAATCCCGACGGGGCTTCCGGGCTGAGCACCAACTCCCTGCGCATAAGGTGCCTCAGTTTCCCTCAAGTGCATCCTCACCCAGAGAACCAGCCTGTCCAGCTGGCACCTCCAAAGGCATCCAGTAATTCCCATCTGGCCCAGGACAGGACCCACCCAATACAGGGACCCCACCAGGAGACCTCAGGTCAGACACTCAGATCCCCTTGCCCTCTTCAAATAAGACCTCAGTCAGACTCAAAGCGCTACCCTCCAAAACAGGAAGCCACTCCAAGAGGCTGCCACACTCTTGGAGACGCAAGAAAAAGAAGTTGAGAGATTTCCTCCTGTGGCTGGCTCTGGCTTGAGGATAGCTGATGGACAACAATCCCGCCGTGGATCTTAAGAGGACAGCTGGTTTGGTCCTCCGTGAGGACGTCCATCTTACCGATGAGACAACTGAGTAAGCCCCGAGGCTACACAGCCAGTCTGTGGGAAACAAGAGCCCAGGTGGCCCTGCCCGAGGTCAAGAAGCACGTGGCTCCAGTTCAGACACCTTGGTGCACGGAAGACACTCTCCTGCAACTATCCAAGTCAAGAGCGACCCCAAACAGCATCCTTCCAGACGGGAAGGACTAAGTCCCGGTAACCAGGGCCATCCAGTTAAAGGGCAGTCACTGGCAGACGACACCGACAGAGAACCACTGGGCCAACCAATGGTTCTGGAAGGGCCTGGATGAGCAGCCCAGAGCTGTCCGCAAACCGGTACAACTCAGTGCTAATCTGGAACTGTCCCTCTGCAAGCAACTCTCGCATATCCACCTTGACGCTCGCACTGGTGAGCGGTTCCCCCAGGCGCACAGGAAGGGGTCCACCCTCACTGCTCTTTCACAGCAAACGGCTTTCTGGCGAGAACAGACGTGCCAACTCAGAACGCTCCACACCAGGCCAGCTGGCCAAAGCCTGGGGGAAACCAGGATTTCAAGTCTACCCTACCTTTTGTTTAAAAAGGGGGGAGAGGGACTCTGGAATTGATACCCCCCCCCAAAGGAACTAATCCAAAACATTCCAGGTCCCCAGGTTGGCTAAGGCACCCCGTGTTCCCCTGGGTGAAGACACAGCCGGCTGAGGAAGGAAGTGGTGAGCGAGGGCCCTTCTCCTCCAGCTGCTCCACAGGCCGCCCGGCGCCCTTCGTCACTCTCCAGTCTAGCCTCTCTCAGCAACCTCACCCAAGGCTCGGCTTTTATTTCTGTCCCTATTTTTAATGAACCAATGACTCCAGGACGCGCCTAGGCTGGGAAACTTAAACTTGGGACCAGGAGGAACTAATCCAAAGAGGAGAGACCTCTCTCTGCAGCTGCCGCGCCTCCAGTGGCCCCCGGCCTGCGCCGCCCCGCACACCCGCAGTCCGGCGAGGCCCGAGCCCGAACCGGGGAACCCTCGGAACGGAGGCGAAGCGAGCGGCGAAACCTCAGGGTGGGCTCCGACTGGAGCCCCCTGGGCAAGGGGCGCACGGGTGGCAGAGCGAGCGCGCAGGCCTGGGGCTGGGGGCGCACGGAGAAGGGCGCGAAGCGGAGACCGCAGGAGGAGGCGCGCACTCACCCCGAGGAGACAAACTTTGAGCTCGCGTATCGCCATCATGTGCTCGGGGCCGTGCCGGCCGGGGACTCAGCAGCATCGTCCGGGGGCCGGGGCCGCCGTGCCCGCCCAGCCTGCGTCCCGCGGTTCAGCCCCTCGCGCCAGCCCGCGGGCGGAACCGCCGCCGCTGCTATTTCTGGGCCGCCCACCCCCGCCGCGGCCGGTCACGTGGCCGTCGGCCGGCTCCTCCCGGGCGCCCTCGGACTCGCACGGCGGGCGGGGGCGGCCTCGGGCACCCCCTCCTCCCCTCCTTCCCCAGGCATCCGCCCCTCGCCGCCCCGCCCCGGTGGGCGGAAGCATCAGCTCCCGGGGCTCCGGGCAGACCCGGGCGCTGAGGACGCCACCGCTCGTCTGGAGACCGGGACCGTGGGACGCGCGCCAGGCGGTGGTCGCCGGCACAAGTCGGCAGTTTCCTGGCGCCCAGGCTTGGGTTTGCCTCTTCGTAGCTCGGCACCCCAAGCCCTGGGTACATTCAGTTTTGTGTACGTAGCTGCAAATAATTCTGGAAGCAGGAGTCTCTCCCGTGATTACCCCTGCTGTCCCAAACTCCCATTGGGAAAGGGAGACCCGCAGTCCTTGCATGGGCAGGAACAGGCGGAGCTAGAAGAGACTCCCCTACACACACACACCCCTGTGTGACTGGCTTCTGGTCCCTTCTGCACGTGCGGCCTAGGGTACCTCTCAGGACTCCATCTGTTGCTGCTATGGAAACATCAGCCTAATGGCCAGGAGCCATCTGAGCAATTCTCTGGTGTTTCAGATAGGAAACCTTTTTTTAAGCTCTTTAATTTTCTTTTTATATGAAGTCAGAGTGATAGATCTTGGATCCACTTATTCGCTCCTGAACTATCCCCAGCGGGCCAGGGTGGGGCTAGGTTAAAGCTGGGAACTAAGAAACCCACCTGGGCCTGGGCAGGTTCTCCAGCCCTCATCTGCTGCCTCCCAGGGCGTGATCAGAGCAGAGCAAGGAGGACTCAAGCAAGCACCCAAATGTGGAATGTGGGTGTCCCAAGGGGCATCTTAACCTCTGCACCAAATGTCTGCTCAGAATAGATTTTAAAATTTCATCTCCTTGGGGCCAGTGCAGGGACAAGTAAGGCTAATCCTGTGCCCACTGCACCAGCATCCCACATGGGTAGGGTTCTCGTCCCCCCTGCTCCACTTCCCATCCAGCTCCCTGCTTGTGGCCTGAGAAAGCAGCAGACGCAAAGCTCCTCCATCCAGCCCTCTCCCGGTGCCAGCTCTCGCACCCATTGGTGGGTCCGTGGGGCAGCTCTACTTAGTCTGCTTCCTTTCCTAGCAGGAATGTGACCTTTTCTGACCAGCCTTCACCCATTCCAGTAAGACATGTAGTGCAGGGTTTTCATCATGGCAGCTGTCGTGACTCCTTCAGGCTGAGACAAGGTCACAGTGGTCCCAGCAGAGCATCCCCAGACACTTTCCAGTGGCAGTGTCTTCCTGAGATCCAGTCTGCTCTGCCCGGCCTAACCAGCTGAATCAGACCTAGCTCTCTACAACTGGCGGACTTGGACTCCTTCAGCATCCAGGTCACTCTAGAAGGTTCCGCGTCGCCAGCCCCTGTGGGCAACTAAAGAACATGGGGGAGGCTGTGGCCCAGAAAGGGCTCAGGGGAGGGGTGACTGCTCTAAGCCATAGCTTTGGCTGCCCAGGCAGCCCTAAACGGATTGTCACTAAGTCATCCCAGCAGTCAGGGTGAGCGGAACTAAATTTGTTGAACACACTGCAGGGAAGCAGTGAACAAAGGGGTTACGGGCTGACTACTGGTGAAACACAGACTATCTACCCACAGCGGCAGCCACATCTAAGGATGACACACAGGGAAGCAGCAGGGGGCCACCAGCGGCTGTCATTGCAAAGCAGACTCTGGTTCCAGAAGCGCACTGGGGTAGTTCCTCAGGAGTGTCCCTCGGCCTAACAGGATGTCCCTCCTCTCAGAGCTGGGGCCAGTTTTAGCTTAGGACTCCACCAAATGCCCTGGGGCCAGCTCCACCTTCTCTGGTGTTATACTGAATGACACAGAAGGCTCATCCCAGCTGCTCTGTCATTTTCTAGACACAGAGGAATAAAATTCCGTGGCACTTAACTGACAATTTATTAGGTTTTTAAAAAGGTAGCAGGCACGTTTCTCTTATGAGACCCTTGTAAAGCAAGCAGTTGTGGCATTAACTGCCACCTGCCCACCGCACCAAACATCTGGCAGGAAGAAGCCCAAACTCCTTGGCAAGTCTTACAAATAACCTCCCCAAACTGTCCTCTGCTGGACAGGACACAGCATGGTCCATCTTCAAGTCTGGCTGACACTTCATCCCAGGAAATCTGCCCTGGGCTTCATGTTTCCTGAGCGTACTTTGCTCAGTGTGTACTTTAACACAAAGGCAGGAATAGCCTTTTGCAATGAATCAGGGTCCACACAGACACACGGATGTCATTGTCTGTCCAGGTGAGAAGGTAAGTCATAATTACCTCTGAATCCCTAGAATTTAGAAATCACTAAGTGTGTGTGTGTGTGTGTGTGTGTGTGTGTGTGTGTGTGTGTGTGTTTTGCTTGAGATTTTTTTTTTAAGATTGTTTTTAGGGTCCAGTGCAGTAGCCTAGGGGCTAGAGTCTTTGCCTTGCATCCACTGGGATCCCATATGGGTGCCAGTTCATATCCTGAGTGCTGCACTTCCCTTCCAACTCCCTGCTGATGGCCTGGAAAGCACCAGAGAATGGCCCAAGTCTTGGGACCCTAAACCCACACAGGAAACCCAGAAGAAGCTCCTGGCTTCTGGCTTTGACCCAGCTCAACTCGGCCATTGCTGCCATCTGGGGAGTGTACCAGTAGACAGAAGATCTTTCTGTCTCTCCTTCTCTCTGTAAATCTGCCTTCCCAGGCCGATAAGCAAGGAAGCCGGATGAGAAGTGGGGCAGCTAGGACGTGAAATGGGGCCCACATGGGATCTTGGTGCTTGCAAGGTGAGGATTGAACCACTGAGTGCTGGGGTCCGTGCAGTAGGTATGGATGACACGAAGGTGTGAAGAGAACAGCTCCCTGCTTGGCAGGGCCTGGGGAGCTTCCAGCTGTTTGGCAGGGCCCGGCGATTTCTCTCTGACCACCTTGACGCAGTCTCACCCCCTGTTTGCATGGACACTCAAGTATCCCACTAAGAATTCTGTAATCTATTGAGGCATTGTTTGCCCCTGTGAGATGGCTTTGGCAACTACTGTGAGCTTAAGAGTTAATATTATTGATGTCTTGGTGAGTGGGCCTTTAACTGCGCACGGGAGTACAATTAAACCCATGCCATTTCTGGACACCTTATTGTGTGCCTACCCATTGCCCTGAAATCGGGCCCAGACATATAGCATGCCTTCTGGGAAACGGCTTAACAAGAATTTTACAAACTAATGGAAGTGATGGGAGTATGAGCTGAAACTGCTATGGCAAAAATATAGTTGCTGTGACCTTAAAGGTTAACCTATCCTTGCAACTCTTTAGAGCATAGAAAATGTAGCTGCTTTAGCCACTTTCATAATCTTTTAACTAGAGGAAATATAGGATGATTCTATTAACATCACAGAGATATACTTTTGATTATTGTTTGATTGCTTATGAGGCTATAGAGCCTACAGTCGTAGGGGGATTTAATGTTTGAAACTTTTTGTCTTAGATCCTTATATTTTTTCTCTTTTGATGTATTTCTCCCATTATGTGATAGATAAAGTTGTGAAAATAAAATGTAGTAAGAATGTTTTACTAATTAGTAGGTAACCATCTGTGCCTTGGCCTTGGAGTTCTGGCTGTCACCTAGTGGTCACTTCTGAAGAATGAATAACGGCTTGCTTTAAAGAAACTGATTATAGTAACTTACAGAATTATCTTTAAGAGCACCTGGTTGACCATGAAGTAAAAATTAATTGAACATCTGTGCATGCTGTCATAGTTCTAAAGTAAAAGATAAAAAATCAAACGTTTGTGCAGAAGTTTGTGATGTGTCTAAGAAAATAAAAAGAACAGCTTCTTCTTGAGCGAGCTATGCTGAAAGCTGAAAGCAAGCAAGCAAGAAGCAAGCAGGCAGAAAAAACGCAACAAGTGTCTGTGTCTTTCTTTATCGCCGACTCCACGCACCCTTCTCGAGCTCCGAACTCAGCTGGAGCTGGACTCCGGCAACTGAGCCCATTGCACCAGGCCCAGACATGAGACTTTTTTTCAAGAAGAATCTTTGGTTTCTTGGCGCCATCCAAATGTGACTAACGTGCCATGGCTCTCTAGGGTCCATAGGACCTGCATCACAGGCTCCACGGAATGGAACTGCTAAGCCTTAGAAGGTGCGTCGTCTCAGAGACTCTGCCTGCACATGTCTCCTACAAGGAAAGGACACCCAACAACCAGTACTTCCCTGAAAGCCGACTAGAAAAAACTGCGCAGTTTTTACTTTAAAAAATGCCCGAAGGAGCTGGTGTTGTGGCACCACAAGTTAAACCACTGAAGGCATCCCATATGAGCGCCCGTTCAAATCCCAGCTACTCCACTTTAGAGCCAGCTCCTGCCAAAGTACGTAGGAAACACACCAACACATGGCCCAAGTGCTTGGACCCCTGCCACCCACGGAAGATACCTAGATGAAGTTCGTGGCTCTGACCTGGCCCAGTGCTGTACAAACTTCCTTCCTTAAGTTTCAGAAACTTTTTGACTGGCCCCTGCTGTGTGATGTTACTTGTAATTCAGACCCTTTAAAGTGTTTGTATATTGGAGTAGGAGGGGTGTGGGAGGGATTTGAAAGAGCAATGGTGAGCTTGGTGTGTGGTCTGGTGGCTAAGGTGCCCGTGTCCCATGTTGGCCCAATGCCAAGCTCCATTCTGACTCTGGCTTTCTGTTAACTCGGATCCGGAAAGGCAGCAATGAGGGCTCCGGGGATTGACTGAGCCCCAAGTTGAGTTCCCAGTTCCCGGCTTTGGCCTTCCCAAGATTTGACTTTTGCATGTTTGCGGATGTAACAAGCAAATGCAAGCCCTTGTCTGTGTGTCTCTCTGTCTCACTCCCTCTATCTCTCTCTATATATATCACTCTTTCCTGTTTCTCTCTCTCTCTCTTTTTTCTTTTAACACATTGGAGGGACACAGGATCTAGTCAAACAGGCTGAACACTACTTTGTCATCCAACTCCTCCAATTCTTCCTT